AAAATAAAATGCATTAATGGGGGGAAACAGCAAGAGAAAATGAAGGGTGGGAAAGAGAATCCCTAAAATTATAATCATTTTTTCTCTCAAATCAGTCCAAAAAGTAACTCATTTTAAGCCATGCATGGGAAGGTTTGGGCTAACATTTTCCATCCTCACTGGTCCACAGAACCCCTCTCCCATCCCACCAAAACCCATCTCTGAATGTCTAGGTGGCTCCCCGTTCCATCTTCACTCTGTGTGGCAGGCCTCTCCCATGCACAGTGCATGCCATCCAATACAGGTGACTGTGCATCATGATTTCCATGGGTATCCCATGCTCTTTCTCATGTGGTCCTATCACAACCACTCCCCGCCACTGGCACAGCTTTCTGGTGCATTCCTAGGTCCCTCACTATTTTTACCTTTGATAGTGACATATCTGGCAAATAGTGTATGTTAATGGAAGTAACGACCTGGTAAATAATAAATTCCCTGGGCCCCAGAGGTTGTTCCAGTAAAGGTTCTCATATAACCAAGACACTGTTCAAACACTCCCCATCTGCGAGGCCCAGATGCTAATCAGTGTCGAAATGTACCTCCTTCCCATGGCAATGTAGCAAGGTTTGCAGTTAGCATAAGAAGGAGACACTATACCCCAGTACCAAAAGTTTCCAGGATCTTTTTTTCCATAGTTTTCTTTGGGGCTTGGAAGGCTGGCTCAAATTTTTAGTTCTAAATAGATTGTGGCTGCAACTGGGTAATTGTTACTTGATAAAAACCAAAATATCTAGTTTTTAAAAAACATTCAGCTATTGCTTGCCTCACATCCGTTCCCTTTTTTTCCCCACCCATTTTTTAAAATTTTTCTGAATAAAATGCAAATAGCATATGATCAGGAGTCCTCATTGAAACTATGAGCTCTGAAATTTGCTAGAATAAGGCATTTGCTGAGAAACTTTTTCTCGAGAAAAGTCACTGTGGCCAGACCAATGAAGCATTAGTAATGTGTGCCACCAGCACTGGGGGACTGAAATGGCTGTGTGAGAAAGCATAACTGAGTGACAATGGGATTTTATCTGAATGAATCTTTCCCAAGAATAAGGCATGGTTGCTTTTTATACTTCAAGACCAAAACAATGACAATGGAAAAAAAAAAACAAAAACAAAAACAAAAAACTAAGAATTTCTCCAAAAAGGTGAGGCTTTATTACAGGTCCCAGCCCTTGCACACACTGTTCCCTCCTCCTTGAATGCCCAATTTCCCGACCACCTTCCCACACCCCAGCCCCCACCTTGTCTCACCTCTGCCCCCATGTCTGTCACACCCAGAGCTTAATTATCTGCAGCTCTTCTTCCAAATCACAGAGAAACACAAAATCAAGATAGGTCTTTTAAGTACAGCAAATACACTTCCATAGTTGCTTTGACTGACGCAAACATGTGCGATGACATGAAATGCACAGGATCGCAAATGCTATCCTTTTAGACAATGTGCTCCTTCATTTCACATTTTAGGCAATCATAAAGCAATTAAACTTGTGTGTGCATGGGGCACTGAAGTCATGTGTGCCATGCTTCCAGGGACTCAGATGACTGGCCTGTTAACAGGAGAAAAGGAGTCAGGAAGATAGGCCTATTCATTCCCTGGCAGTAAAAACACAGACTGGCTGAATCACAGCCCAGCCAATCCTCCTCCCATACTACAAAGGCTTTACAGGGGAAACCAGAGTGTCTTGAAGTTGTTAGCCTCAGAGGACAGCACACGTGCCGCCCGGCCCCAGAGGTCAACTCCGCTGGTCCCAACAGCTAGCCTCTGGGAAGCTGGCCTCAAGAGAGCTGATCACGAGAGCATGGGTCAGAATTCAGTGGGGAATTCATCCTAATATGGAAAATGTAAACACTTGCTTCCTTTATCAGTCATTCCCAGTCCACCACAGCTACAGGCAGAATCGGAAGTCAAGCTCAAGCTGCAGAGCAGAGATACCACTTGGGTCTAGGGGTATTTTCAAGCTGCTAGGAGGACCTCATCTGTCACTCCTTGCATCTTAGGGTTCACTCCATCATTCATGGGAACACTTGAGTACCCACGCTGGTTTAGGCCCTGTGTCAAATATAATTACTTTGGGAAACAGACATCTTGTTAGTGAAAATAAAGATGGTGCAAGGGAGAAATCTGCGGTATCACTCTTTCATTTTTTTTCTCTCTTTGTACATATTCCACCCTCATGGCAAAGGAGAAAGATTTCCATTGGATGAGACACTGAATTCAGTAGCCACAACAATAAGGGACATAAGGCAATGAGACTAAAAACATATTCTTAGGAAAGAAAACTGAAAGCAGTAAGGAAGTAAGAAAACATTCTTAGTCTGGCGTCATTAAAACATGGCATTAACTAGAAGATCTCAAAGGTCCTTCCAAGATTAAAATGGGATGACTCACTAATAATCAGGAAATATAAATTAAAATAACAGTAAGATAGATACCCACATTCACTCTTCAGAAGGTCAAAGATGAAAGAATTCATCAGTATTAACTGTCAGTAAGAATTTGTAGTAAACAGAATCACATACACTGCTGAATGAGGGTGTAAATTAATATAGCCTGTGTGGAGGACAATTTGTTAATTTATAATAGAGTTGAATACATTCTATGGGGTTTTTATTCAATCTAAAATAATCGTACACATGCTCAGCATGACATGGACAAAAATATTCACTGAGGAATGACTTTTTAATGGCAAAACTGGAAACAGTTTAAATGTCTTAACAATAGATAAATAAAACGTGATATGGTCTTAAGATGACCCAACATACAGCAAATATTTATAAGCAGTTTATATCTTTATAAATATGGCTGAATCTCAGACATTATGGTGAATGGACAAAGTGTCAAACAGTATCTCAGAACCAATTTATGTGAATTAGAAAATAATACTATTTTGGTGTTCCAAACCCCAATTTATTTGGGTGTTCCAAACCCCAAGATATCACATGCCATGCTCCTTCTTCCTTTAAAAAAAATTGTCACCAGAGGCTACTGATATACACTTTTCTCCTCTCTGAAACCTGAGAGATAAAAGTGTTCCCAGCATCTGAAATAACATCTTTTTTGTGCTGCAGTGGTATTGTCAGACCACCTTCTCCACACCTGAAACTCACAATAACTCCTTCACATTCCCAGCGGCACCTCAGTATGACTCTCTCTCGTCACTCTCCCAGTCTCTAATCACGGTATCTTTACTGGCTAGCAAATACAAATTAGTATTTCTTCTAAAAAATTATTTCTACATTATATTTTGGTAAATTGAATCATGTTTTCAATAAACGAAAGTAGGTCACTTCTTAAAGGAACTTACTAAGGAAACTTGTGATGTTTCCTATCACACAATAGCATCAGCCTGATTTATCTGCTACATTAAACAGTAATGACTACACATCAGGTTTTACAGAAGGCACAGATATATTAAAATTTCTTTATATGCAACATCGAAGAAAAGGTTTCTTTTGTAACCTTTTCTTGAAAACTACTTATGTCTATACCAAAACATGCACACGTCTACAGATAAATGTGCTCATTCTAGCTAACCTAAGACTAGACTCATAAATGTCCAAAGCCACAAAGAAAAACAAGAAATCTCTCAAACCATACTGATGCAGAGACAAAAGTGTATTAATAACTCTAGAGATTTATGTATTTATTTATTTGAGATGGAGTCTCTGTCTCCCAGGCTGGAGTACAGTGGCACGATCTCAGTTCACTGCAACCTCTGCCTCCCGGGTTCAACCGATTCTCCTGCCTCAGCTTCCTGAGTGGCTGAGATTACAGGCGTGCATGACCCACACCTAGCTAATTTTTGTATTTTTAGTAGAGACAGGGTTTCACCATGTTGGTCAGGCTGGTCTCGAACTCCTGACTTCATGATCTGCCCGTCCCACCCTCCCAAACCCGCCCTCCCAAATTGCTGGTATTACTGGCATGAGCCACTGTGCCTGGCCCCTAGAGATACTGTTTAACATATGTCAGACCGATGGTCACCAGGGATTAGGGATGAGGCAAGGGTTGAGGGAGGCATGTGACTACATAGGGGTAGCCCAGGGAGTATCTCTCCGGTGATGGAACAGTTCTGTATCTTGATTGCAGTTGCAGAATCTATACAAGCAATAAAATTTCATAGGACTATAAATGCACAGAAACATAGACTGAGTATATATAAAAACTTGTGAAATCCCTGAACGTCTATACTCGGGTTCACTGCCTTGTGAAAATGAAAATGTCAATTTCCTGATTTTGATTATGTTCTAATTCACCACTGGAGGAAGCTGGGTTTAGGGACCTCACTATACTGGTGTGTGTGTGTGTGTGTGTGTGTGTGTGTGTGTGTGTGTGTGTGTCATTCCTGCCATGTAGGCTGGAGTGCAGTGGTGCGATGTCGGCTCTCTGCAACTCCATCTCCCAGGTTCAAGTGATTCTCCTTCCTCAGCCTCCCGAGTAGTTAAGATTACAGGTGTGCCCCACCACGCCTGGCTAATTTTTATTTTTGGTAGAGATGGGGTTTTGCCATATTGGCCAGGCTGGTCTCAAACTCCTGGCCTTGTGTTCCACCCACCTCAGCCTCCCAAAGTGCTAGGATTATAGGTGTGAGACACCACATTCAGCCCAGGTGAATCTTAAATGCATATTTCTAAGTGAAGGAAGCCAGTCTAAAAAGGCCATAGACTGTCTGATTATAATTATGTGTCATTCTGAAAAAAGGCAAAACTATAGAGACAATAAAAAAACATCGGTAGTTGCCAGCAATATGCAGTGAGAGAGGGATGCCTTAGTGGACAGTAGGGGATAGTAAAATTCTTCTGTATGAGAGGATAATGGTGGATAATGATATTATGCATTTGATCAATCTCATAGAACTGTAAAAAACAAATAGTAAACCCTAAGGTAAATGATGAATATCAATGAATAATAATGTATGAACACGGGCTCATTGCTGGTAACAAATATTAATAAGAAGGAAACCCTTCTGCAGCCAATTTAGCCGACTGGGTTCCCTTCCTCATGAGGGCCCAGCGTGCAATGGCTGCAAACAGCAGCCATTGGTAATGTAATGCAGCCTGTTTCTTGTATGGGTTGCACTAAGGGACCTTGGAGACGAGCCTTTCAGATGTTTGTTCATGTCTCTGACCTTGCACTACCCCCGTGTAGGCTCCAAACAGGCAAACGAGGTGCCTTTGGAAAGCCCCAGGGCACAGTGGCCAGGGTTCACACTGGCCAAGTGATCATGTCCATCCGCACCAAGCTGCAGAACAAGGAGCATGTGATTGAGGCCCTGCATGGGGCCAAGTTCAAGTTTCTTGGCCACCAGAAGATCCACATCTCAGAGAAGTGGGGCTTCACCAAGTTCAATGACGATGAATTTGAAGACATGGCAACTGAGAAGCGGCTCATCCCAGATGGCTATGGGGTCAAGTACATCCCCAATCATGGCCCTCTGGACAAGTGGCAGGCCCTGCACTCATGAGGGCTTCCACTGTGCTGCCCCCTCTTAACATTAACCAATAAATTCTACTTCCTGTCCATCTAAAAAAGAGGGAAGCCCCGCAGGGGAAAGAGGATATGGAATCTCTGTACCTTGTACAAAATGTTTCTGTAAACCTAAAAGTTCTCTTAGAAAGAACTGATTATATTTATTAATTTTTTAAAATATGAATTTCAAAAAATTGTGTCATCTATTTATAAGTGAATTTCAAATTGTAAAGAACATTGAATATCACAACAAATTAATATACAGTAGCACTGGAGTTTATATCCACAGCATATTTGTACCCTTGTGTTCCCCATACTAAAGGAATAGCTATCGGGCCAGGCTTGGTGTCTCATGTCTGTAATCCCAGCACTTTGGGAGGCCGAAGCAGGTGGATCACTTGAGATTCAGGAATTCAAGACTAGCCTGGCCAACATGGTGAAAATCCGTCTATACTAAAAATACAAAAATTACCTGGGCATGGTGGTGGCTGCCTATAATCCCAGCTACTCAGGAGGTTGAGGCAGGAAATCGTTTGAACCCAGGATGCAAGGGTTGCAGTGAGCAGAGATAGCACCACTGCACTCCAGCCTGGGCAGTATAGACCAAGGGAGACTCGATCTCAAAAAAAAAAAAAAAAGAAGAAGAAGAAAGAAAGAGCTATCAATCATGCAGCCAGGGTTCAATAAAATAATGCGTAGAAAACTGCTGTGAAAGCAATGGAAAGCCCTGCAGAGGTTTAATTCTAATCACATCTGGGTTACACAATAGATATACATAATGAAGTTGAAACCCCCAGGAAGATTCTGGGCAGTCTGACTACCTGATTATGCATCACTCTCTAAGATACACTGGAAAAAAGATGGCAAAGAACTCAGATGAGCCCCTACTCTCTGTCTTTCCAATGCATTTCAACAAGATTCTGCTATTGGTGGGAAATGGAAAAAATAACAGCAGAGCGACATTTGCACTACCATGTACACTGCAGCATTAGTCACAACAGCCAAGGGGGAGAAGCAGCCTAAATATTCATTAATAGATGAAGGGATAAAGAAATGGTAGGAATATACATACAAGGGAATATTATTCAGCCTAAAGCAGAAGGAGATCTTGTCATGTGCTACAACTCAGATGAACTTTGAGGACATGATACTAAGTGAGATAAACCAGCCACAAAAAGACACACGCTGCATGGTTATACTTACAGGGATTATTTAAAGTAGTCAATCTCTTAGAAACAAAGTACAATGGTAGTTGCCAGGCGCTGGGGAGGAGGGAAAGGGGAAGTTGCTGTTCGATGGGCAGAGTTTCAATCACAATTAAAAAGCTCTAGAGATCTGTTGCATAAGAATGCACATATAGTTAATGCTATTATACAGTACATTTAAAATGATAAAACTTTAAATTTTGTGTTTTTTTGTTTGTTTGTTTTACCACACACCATTTTTTTTTTTTTTTTAAATAAAATAACAGCCCTGAGCCTGACTTTCACAAATAATCTGGAAGTTTAAACATTGTTTACACATCAGGCCATGACATAGAAAGCCTAAGTGAAACTCTGAAACAAGAGAACACAAAGTTCAGAACAAACTCAGCACAATATCAGCAGAAAGGTGATCCGGAAGCTGACACACAGCAGGGTTTTGCAAGTGAAAAAAAAAAGTGAACAAAATTAGTTTCCTAAAACCTACTGAATGCCAAAAGTTCATGGGTAGCTTTTTAGGTTGTGACCTCACTTTGAACTAATGCTGACATCTCTGAAATAACTTCTCCTAACTAGTGATAATAATGAAGAGAAGTATCATTAGGGGGTCACTAATTTTATGCCGATTTTATGTATTATTTCACTGATTCCTCTTAGCAACTTTAGAGGGTAAGTGTCCTGGTTGTGTACTGATGTATAACAAACCATCTCTAGACTTACTGGCCTCATATAACAACAATCATTTTATTTTTCTCATGAAACTACAATTTGGGCAGGGTTGGGTAGGTATGGTTTGTCTATGCTCCATGCAGAGTCAGCCAAGACAACTCAACTGGGGCTTGCTGGGGGATTCACTTGGAAGATGGTCACTCATACGGCTGGAAAGTTGAGGCTAACTATTGGCTGGGAACTCAGCCGGGCCCGTGGGCCAAAAGCCTCAATTCTCCCCACTTGGTCCTTTCCATGGGCTGCTTGGGCTTCCTCACAGCATGGTGGCTGGGTTCCAAGAGCTACACTGCAGAGCAAGATGGAGGTGAATAATCTTTTTATGATGTAACCTTGCAAGCCATATAGTACCACTTCTGTGATGCTCTATTGGTCAAAGCTGTCACAGCATTCCACTCAAGATCAAATGGAAGGGACATAAGCCCTATTGCTAGATGGCAGGAGTTTTATGGGGCTATTGTAAGATCATGTATGACAAAATATACTGGTATGACCGTTTTGGAAAATAAAATCTACCACAGTAAATATTATCAATATAATTCCCATTTTGCAAGTAGAAAAATTATTGGATACAATGACTTCTAAATTTCTCTTCAAAGAATCACTAGGCCATTATGTTCAGTTATTTTTCCCTCATTTTAAAGTTTAACTTCCTTGTAGTTCCAGTAAACAACCTTCTCCAGTTCTAATCAGTAGTTTACATCTGTTCTGCCTGGCCCCCAGCTCCGTCCTGATACATCCTGGTCACCTGCTTCAGTCACCTGCTCCAGTCACCTGCTCTGGTCACCTTCTTTGACATAGGTCACCCCAGCTACCTGCTCGGACCTGCCTGCCTGTCACCGTTCTTCCTGCCAAACCACCCACGCTGCCACTCCAGCTCGGATCCCTACTCTCTATAAAATAGCCTATCAGGATTAGTCTAGCTTGTGCAGTCTAACCCTAGCCAATAGGGGAACAACACAGCAGTAGGGGTGACTCCTGTCAGGCATAAGTACCCCTTTTCCTCACTTGTCCAAATGTGCAGTCACCATTGCTCCATCTGTGAGCCACATCCTTCTATAGAAGTAAACTGCCTTGCTGAGAGAATTTGTCTTCGAGTGCTATTTCTTTTGTGGCATCAAAATTTTACTTATAACAAACTGAATCTTGAAAAGATAATTATCTCCCTTCTTCCCCCAAAGTCACACAGCTATTAAGTAATGGGGCCAGAATTCAAAACCAGATATATCTGAGTCCCAAGTCAGAAGCCTTAACTACTATGACCATTTCACTTCCAACTTCCTCTACAATTCCTGCTGTAATTACTCTAGCTCAGATAGTCTCTACCTTCCTTGCATAGGAAGGATTATTTTATGTAATTGACATAAAAATAAATGAACTCCCCAGTACTACTGCAGTCTGGTGACTGACACATAGAAAGCTCCCTAAAGTTCTGCAAAATTAGATGTATCTTCTCTCATCTACTAAAGTATGATCTCCTTGAAAGAAAAAAAGAAGTTTAGTAAAACCTAGTATCCACATAAAATTTGATTCAGTTCCTTGATCACAGCAAGGGTTCAGTAAATGCCTATTTGAAATGTATCTACTTGTCTTCATGTCTTTCTCTCCATCCCTCCCCACAACCCCAGACTGTGAGTCACTAACAAGCAGGGACAAAGGCTAGGTACAGTGGCTCACACCCGTAATCCCAGCATTTTGGGAGGCTGAGGTGGGCAGATCACAAGGTCAGGAGTTCGAGAACAGCCTGGACAATGTGGTGAAACCCATTTCTACTAAAAATACAGAAATTAGCTAATCATGCTGGCAAGTGCCTGTAGTCTCAGCTACTTAGGCTGAGGCAGAAGAATCGCTTGTACCCAGGAGGTGGAGGTTGCAGTGAGCCAAGATTGCGCCACTGCACTCCAGCCTGGTGACAGAGCGAGACTCCATTTCAAAAAAAAAAAAGAAAAAAGGATGCCTGGGTGCTCCAGTCCCTCCCACCCTCAACACACACACAGTCCTATACAGTGGGGCTTCTACAAATGTTACAATGAACAAATGAATGAGCGCATGACATATATGGATGAAAATGAAATGAACAGTGATCCAGGTTTATAATCACTTTCTTCATTCAAACAAGGGAAAATTAATACAATTTAAAAAACGAAGTTCCATCATTGAGCCTACCGGCCTACCCCTAAAGGAAGGCAACATGACACCTTTCAGTAGAGAAACAAAAAACAATGGGTTTCCTGTTGGAGAAAAAAAAAATTGCAAAGGGAAGAAGACATGAGTGGAAAGAGTTTTTAGCTAACTAATGAAAAAGACGCAATTCATGAGCTATCTGCTGTGACACTTTTTGTCACCCTCTCTCTGTGGATCCTGGGGTCAGCGCAGAAGGCACAGGATAGAGAGGAGGAAGAGAATTAATGTTTTCTGCATGCCAGGCACTCTGCTAAGTAAGAGCTTGGCTTTTACTCCCACTTAACATATTTTCATAATAAAACCTGAAACAGTTAGAACAGGAAGTAGGAACAAGAAGTAGTATAACATTTTCCTGGCTCTCAGAAAGCCATTTTAAGAAATAATTATGGAGATGTAGCAACTAATCCTACCTCACTAATATTCTAAATGGGAAGTCCCACAGATACTAATACTGGATTTTTAGTGGATGAATTCAAGGAGCAATATTATTCCCTGTCCACATCCTGCAAATAAATAAAGTTCCCTTTCTTTCGTTTACCGCTAACCATTGGTTTCTTCTGGTTTTTCAACATCCTACAACACTTTATTTTAAAAAGAAATCACTGTAGCAAGCTATTATGCTCTTTCTTTTCCAGGAGCAAGTGGGTATAATAAATTGTAGCAGTGATGAAAGTGGAAAGTGACATTGGAGAAAAATTAATATCTTTGTGCTTTTCATTCTCAAAATTCTTTAAATGAAATTTAATTTTCTGGCTATTGCCCTTTAAGCACATTAAGTTAGAGAGGGAAAATGTACCGTATTCAGCTTTTCCAATTTCTCTGTGGTATTAGAGGGTCTCTTTTCCTTCATACAGTCTACAGAAATGGCATTTCTTGGTGTGTG